GGGGGGCGGTAAGTGTTTTACAGCGCTCGCAACTGCCTAAGCTCATATGAGCGCGCGGGACATATTAAACATTTTTTCAGTTGGTAGGAAATTTTGAATTTGGCCCGGGTAGCCGCCGAAACCTACTCTTATCGAATTTGGACCACCAAGGGATCTGTAACGTGCGCAACTTGCACACTGGACCTCCAAGATTTTTCGTCCTTGTCCGAGAAGGCTAGGTCTAGATCTTTCCTAACAGAAGATCAGGGGTGTGGCGGAAAGACAGCAGTAAGAAGGAGCCGAGGAGTAGCAGTAGAAAAGCTGCAGAAAGAGTCCGGGACCCAGAGCAGGGGGCAAAGGAGGTGAGGGGGTGGTGGCAGAAAGTGGAGACGACGAAAGCAGACGACAGAACATGGCTAGAGAGCAGGAAATGGTGTGAAAGGAGAAAATTATAGAGAAAAAAATTTTCCCATCGCTATCCAGGTTCGAACCCAGGACCTATTAAATGAGAGGTGAACACCTTAACCTCTTGGCCACGAGAGCCCCCTTGTTTTGTTTTGTTTTGTTTTTGCTTTGTTTTGTTTTTTGTTTTGTGTGTGTGTGTTTTTTTGGTGTTTTTTTTGGTTTTTGGTGGGGGGGGTTGTTGTTTTTTTTTTGGTTCAGTTGTTGGGTTTTATCATTGTAATATGATTGTCTTTTTACGAGGCTCGGTTATAAATATGAAACTATCAGCCACTGTGTGTTTCCGGTATCTAAAAACCAACATTCCAGATATAATGTTGATAAGCTTCCCTTAAATCGAGGAAGATAAGAAGATGAGATCTTTTTGCGCTCGTAAGTACAAAAAAGATATGCGCTAAATAAGAACTTTGGAAATTGGGGGGGGGGGGGATTCGTTTCGTTTTGTTTCGTTGTATTTTGTTTTGTTTGTTTGTTTGTTTGTTTGTTTGTTTTTTGTTTGTTTGTGTTGGGTTTTTTCGGTAGGGGGGGGGTTCGATCATTTTGAAAAAGGGGAGGGATGGGTCTGGTTTATTGAACTGCATCTTTTTCGTAAATTTAAGATATACTGACGCAAACGAACGACCATACAAAGTCAGTCAAGTGGAACGGTGGCAACTGTCTGCCAATGCAAGAATAGAAATCACTTCAAGCGGAACATGGGCAGTGCTGATTACCTCCCTCAGCAGACGAAAAGCCTGCTGTGACCATTGCAATTTAGCACGTAATGGAATTAAACGTCCACGTTAACGATATACATATAGGATATTATCAGGTACTCAAAAGCAAAATCTCCGATTAAACGTCCAACTCTGGTAGTAGCAGTGATCGAGAGGGAGAAAAGTCATGAAAACTCTTCATTTGAGTCAGTCTACATTAAACATACGTCTTAGGGTATTCGAACCAGATTC